TTGTTTAGCATCAGTTTTACCAGGAATTCGTACCATCTTATCTCATTAAAAAACCCGACTGAGCAACGTTCACCCAGGTTGCATGGTAAACGAATGATATCGTGTCATCTGTATTTGGGCTTTAACTTGCACTGTGCTTTCAGCACAGACTAGAGCTAGTTTCTCGCAACATTTTAAATTTTGCATGAAATGGTATTACGAATGCCTGCAAAGTGGGGAAGGTAGTCAGGAATAGTAACCGTGTACGCAATATGAGTGCTTGTCTAAGAAGATGACTTCGGATCACGCCAGAAATTCTTCTGATTGTTTTCCATATGGGTCCAGCGGGGGTGGAGGGGGGGGGGCAGCTTCCTGGCCAGGATGTCTAATCTAGACATTCAACTGATCATCTGAACGGTGGAGAGCAAGTTTGTAGTCTGGTGGTGCTAAACGAATTATGTGGGAACTTGAGGGGAACCTAGCAAACTGTGTTTGGGAAAGAACGTATTTACCCAATGCAAATAGTTTTGGTTTAGTAGTTTTTCACGGAAATTTGGTGATGGTGGCTAAATTTGAACAAGGCCAAAACAAATCATTTGGTCGGCAGACTCCCCCAACTTTGCGTTCTGTGATGCTTAGCTGCGTTTAAACGTTAGAACGATAGGGTGTTCGCTGCCGCTACGAGGGTCGCGCAAGGTCTCAGGATGGTCATAGGCACCGACCCTGCCGACAACGCTTTTGATTTTATGCATGCAAACGCTTTCCGGCTGAAGTCGAATGTGACAGTCATAGCTTGCCGTTGCCATCAATTTAAGTCGCAGGTTTTCAAGTGTCATCAGTGATGACACAATGCAACGGCATGACACTCGGCGAGTTCGCGTGCAACGGGTAGGAAAGCACCAAAAACAACGGCATCATGCTCCACGTGCTTTAAGTAGCATTCTCCAGCAAACTGAATGCCGCCGCCGTGAGCCGGGTGAAAATCCTGGGTTGGTTGCCCTGCGGCTCTAGGTACGAGTTTTGCGTTAGGCGAGCTGTAGATCCTGACCGCCATGGAAAGGCTCAGCTGGCAGCTGGCCAATAACGGTCGGCCCAAGCCCTGTTGGGCTGTGTGGCGCTTACAATTATTCGTGGTCCGGCCTGCCGAAAGCGCGGATGCCTAGTTATTCTCTGAACGGGACGGCGCAACTTGGGTGGCAGGTTGGGGTACACGCGACAGGATTCACGTAGGGGCATACTAACCACAGACCACGTGCAAGACATTTGGACAACATCATAAAAGCCATGAACAATAACAATTCAGGAATGTGTGTCACTTTTCGTTACATTTGATGACATCTTTTAAGCCATGCAATGCATTGTCTGGTTTCTAAACCCATGTTGCAGATTTGTTCTTTTGGTTGACTGCCTGACTTTCAATACCACTCATACATTGGGCACGGGCACGTTTCCATAAAACGTTGCTGAGACGAGCAAAAGTATTTTGCTGCGACGCCGTTACACTGCTTGAGCCGGACATTTATCACTTGAACCTTAATTCTCCATGCGACTGGTCCGCAGAATCTCTGCAGCAACCCAGATCGCCGCCACACTATTCCCGCAGTGCCGCTGTGCCATTTGGATACCGCTCCGAGGCGGATGTTCTTGATTTTTAAATACGTGCGATTCTGTATGACAGCCGCTGCCTGTTATACAATGGGAGTGTACTTTGGGCCTGGTTTCGGGTTCGTGTCACGTCCCGGTTTGTGTCGTGGGGGCAGCAGCTGCTCACAGCATAGTGCTGGTCTGGATCATGGAAACAGCGGCCCCGCACGACAGGTCACGTGACACCAGCTGGCATGTTTGCGCGGCGAGACTCGATCAATCACCACAATATTGAGGCATGAATAAGAAACAGTCATGAGCGATATACATCTAGGTAAGTGCGTTTGCTGCCATTGGAGGGAAGATTTATGCATGGACATCACAAACATGCACAGCTGATATCCGGCAGCCCAGTAACACACGAGTCTGCTTGGGCGAGGTACCGTCCTTACATACGCCAATACAAGCACAACAGCTCATCAAATCAGGCTTGGGAAGTAACTTACTGATGACTGGTTGGAAGCGGGAAAGCTGTAATTCAGCGATTATACTTTTAATGCGGATTCAAACCATGTGGTGCAGGACTGAGACTTTTCTTAGAATCATAGCACCTGCTACACTACACGAGATTAGGCTGAAAATTTTGGGGTTAGACATAAAAAGCGCACGCTCACCTAATCCTTATGCCAAATTCTTGTTTACAAAGTGTTTTCTCTTAACGATGCTTCCTACCATCCCGAAAATTTGGACCTGGAAGGAATTCATCTTGGCGACGTTGAAGTTTATAACGTGACGGCGGCTCACAAAACACCAAAGCAGTCATGCTTAAACGGCTCCGTTTTGGTTGGGGTGACAGCTCTCCCGAACCAATACATTTTGCTCGTTTTAGCTCGTTCTAGAAGATATGTCACTAAAACACCTAATTAAGTTCGTTCATTTTAATGCAATTAATTACGAGACTGAACATTCTGGAAGGACTGCTTAAGTCCTTGTCATGCCTGTATATTGATGCAAATTGGCGACGACATTCTGGGAAAAAAACTCGTGCACTCATTAAGTACGCTGACAATTTATACTGAGTAAGTGAGCGAGGGAAGAGGGGGTAAAGAACGCATTTATGAAGATGAGACCAAATCCAAGTCGGTCTTATTCTTTGTTCGTCTGCGTGTCCACATGCAATTCGTGATTTTCTCACCTTCACGACGTCCTCCGTCAAGTAATAACTTAGCAGAATCATTTGGGGATTGTGTGGTGCTTAAGGCATGTTAGAACCCTCAAAATCGATCATTTATGTTCGCGACTTTAACACGCGCCCGAGTGGCTGGCAGGATACCCCTGGCTCGGGCGGGGATAATTGGACCCTCTGAGATCTCAGGAACTAAGAGAGCTAGAGACACCAAATCTGTAGAGTAAGCTGACCTGTACCTGAACTCACTCAGGTCAAATTTTGAAATTCATAGATCTTGACCTTCGGATAAAGTAAGGTCAAACAAGGTCAATGTCTAAGCTGGTCTCAAAAGTACCCCCAGAACCTAGATACCTGTTCTAGGCAAAAGTCACATGAATATTCAAGATCAGTGACCTGTTTTAACCTTTTGAAGGTCATGTGGCCAAAGGCATGTAAGACTGCTTTGAGTTTTGCACTTAAGTAGGCGACATAGATTACACTAGGTAGTATGTCCCTAAAAACAAAGCGATGACCTGGGTAACTTTAGGTCAATGCCCTGTTCTGAGCTTTGAAAAGTGCACGGAAGATGTATAGCGCGGCTCCTGTTGTCAATTAATTTTAAATGGGCACCAGAAACTACCCCATACAGCAAGGCCTAGAGTAATAAAACAGATTGGCTTTGGCCTTGGTATGACCTCCAAAACTAACCTCAGGTCAATGGAATTCGTTCATTCAGTTGTTGCGCTGCCTAAGAGAGTATCTCAGAGATGTATGGCCTCGTCTAACATTTCACTGTTACATCAGATTGAACTATTCCCTAGAAATTGCCTTCGCTGAATCCGTGACCCGACTTTGACCTGCTGCAGGTCAGCAATCTTACAAGGTGCATCTCAATTTTTTAACAAACGATCTGTTATTCATTTCTCTATAGCCATTCAAAATTTGGCGCAGCTGCGTCGCACCGTTCGGAAACCATTCTGGAAAACCTTTGGGGGTTAATTTGATCCCCACCCGAGCGCGTGTTAAAATACGCATACAAGATGATGCGAACGCTTCGGGAGCTATTTCATCCAGAAGCCACACGTGCCGTTGTGTGCGGACGGGGACCTGACGCAGCTGTTCATGATGTGGAGGGCAGCTGTGGGCCTTACGCACCCAGACGAGAAACGGCATTTTTTATTATAAAGGTGGTTGATTTCATGCACCATTTCCACAAGTTTTCGCGTATTCAAAGCGTTGCGTAATCCCGCCCTGATTAAGTCGGGCCATTACTTGATACCTTACGTAGCGAGCTGAGAAAGAAGTAACGCGTTCGGAACAAAGGAACAATTAATTTGAAACGGCAAAACAATGCATGCAAAACAGATAAATTAAAGAATGAAACTTCTCACTATGGCCTATCCATGTGATGCGTGCATTTCATAATAACGCAGTAGATAGTGGCAGGGGTCAGGCATGAGACGTTCTTGGGGTTATGGTTAAATTCAGTCTGTAACAGAAAACCTGGGAGCACCTGTGCGGGCTTAAGCCTGCGTAGCCGTGCTGTAGCTCAGTGTCCTCAATTATACCAGTTATCCCTGATGTTTTGTTGTGGCTGTAAAATGTCTATAGGTTTTGACTGTTTAAAGAAACGATCATTTTGCACGTTTCTTTATCGCGCATGAATTACAGAACCACCATAAGGTACCCGTTGCAATGCAATAGCACTGTAGTGATTGCTTGCTTTAGTATTTGGCTGATCCGGGCTTAGCAGACGTGTAGAGATTGGTGGTGTTTGGGAAATTTCCAGAAACGTTGTTACCTCTCAAGCGTCCCATAAGACAGCACGGTTAAGTCACGCACAGGAATGTGACAAACATTTGCTAGCGCATAGATTTATGTACATGTCTAATAGACACCTGATAAGCGTACCACGCATCCCATCCATGCCTCCTGCGCGTCCTGCCATAGGCGATAGCCCTGTATGATGTACCAGACAGCGTGGCACGATAACAACCAAACACCTGAACGACCTCGCCAAGGTAGACTTGACGAAACGACCAGGGTCGATAACGTGAGGGCCTGGAGTTGATCCAGCATGGGAGGAGGCTGAGTCCTGAAAACCAGGCCTGGTACCCGAAACCCGATCTAAAAGACGGGGGCTTTCCCTCTCCATACCTCGGATGTCTGTAGCTCTTCTGGTCCTGTCTTGGATCTGTGGAGGCAAAAGATGCACTTACGCAGATTTAGATTAGAGATCATCAAAGTGTTCACGTCTTTTCTCCCACAGGCAGGAGTGAAGTCAAGATTACACACTAGGTCGGTGTCCCAACCGCCATACGAAATGTTTCACACTACCAGCGGGATGAAGAACTGCGTAATCCTCATATTGCTCGGTAAGTCCAGTCGCGAGCGAGTGCATTACAGTCACAGGGCTGAATGCGGACTGAATGCGGAGGTGTTAAAGCATAGCAGCCTTGGCAGATGTGAGGCGCGAGCTTCTCAGTGTGTTATTATAACAGCTACAGGACTGAATGCGGAGGTGTTAAAGCATAGCAGCCTTGGCAGATTTGAGCCGCAAGGTCCTCAGTGTTATTATAACAGCTACAGGACTGAATGCGGACTGGATTCGGGGTGTTAAAGCATAGCAGCCTTGGCAGATTTGAGCCGCGAGTTCCTCGGTGTGCTATTATGCAGTTTATACTTACGTTCAAGTATGAGTGCTTAAGTGAATTTTTGCAAAAAACGTAAAGTAATGGTTATTTCTTTTGAAACGCTAACAAGTATAGGTGTGATATTATACAGTCCCTATGAATAAGCATGCGTCGGTCTGCTAAACGATTGATATTCGACATGCTTGACAGACATTATAGTAATGACTGCCAGACATACCAAAACCATATTGTGACATTGAATGTACTGCTCACATGTGGACGCCGCGTGTGCTCCGCATGTCCCACACGTAAATCTACTGATTCGTCATCCAGGTGCCGTTTCTTAGCTTTTCAAATATCAGTAGAAGATCTCTCACAGCTATACATGATGCATAACTACGGTACGTGAAATGCCATATGCAATTCCGTGTAAATTCGAGACTCCGGTAAGCGGCCGCCAGCATTGCATGGCAATATGGCACCCGCCATGGACAGTCGTGAAGCTTGTGAAACTCGTGGAACTCGGTGACTGTCTTTAAGGAGCCATACCGTCATAGCCAGGCGCCGTCCGCATGATTTGCGTGCCGTGACGCCGGTCAGAGACACGTGTTGCTGCTGTTAACCGGCGACAGCTGGCCATTTCATGCGCCCTTCAATGGCCTGACTTGGCGCTGGCTTCCTGTCCTGTAAATGAGCTGTCGGCGACGGGGGGCGGTGGCGCTCCGGCCGCCATACTCCCGCCGGATTTATTTGCTCATTCCATGATGCCCGGACGCCGGATGATTCATACCGGGCGCGGCTGCGAAGCGGGCCCGGCCGCCAGCACCGGCGGAGCCAGCGCCGCGGCTGGGCAGCAGGTCACTCGGAGCGGGACAGGCGCAGGACTCGGAATGGGACCGGCGCAGAGTGAGCGCACCAGGAGCGGGCCCGGCCGCCAGCACCGGCAGAGCCAGCGCCGCGGCTGGGCAGCAGGTTACTCGGAGCGGGACTGGCGCAGAGTGAGCCGAGCAAGGAGCTGGCTCGGCAGCCAGCACCGGCAGAGCCAGCGCCGCGGCTGGGCAGCGGGTCACTCGGAATGGGACAGGCGCAGTGTGAGCCGGGCCAGGGGCCCGCGGCCCACGGCCGCCGTCGGAGCTGCCGCGGGCCGCCATGCGGGCCACATATCGACCTCCCGCGGCGCGGGCCGGCGCGGGATTGGGATCGCGCGGAGCTGGAGAGCAGGCCGAATAACGTGCGGTTATTGCCCCTGACTGGGTTGACAGAGAATCAGTGATGAGGCGGGGAGCCGGAATGATTCTGGAATGAGACAGCTCACGTGGCCGCGTGCTGGCAAAGTCTTGTCTTGTTGGCTGAGGTGTCCGGGTAAGGCAAGAGGTCAAGTTTACCGTTTTCGAGCGTTCTTGACGTCGGGCAATACCACAACTGCAATAGAGAAACGTTGAGCAACGTAAATTCTTAGCACGCGCTCGGATGGGGTCAATTTGACACCCAAGGGTTTCTCCACAATCACACCTGAACGGGGTGGCGTAGCCGCCCCAAACTTCGTATGGCCATCGGAAATTGGAAGCCAATCTTGTGGTACAACAAATTAGATGTTCCTTTCACGGCTGCAGACCTGTAGCAGGTCAGGGTTAGGCCATGGCTGTCAACGAAGACAATTTTCAGGGCATCATCTAATCTGGTGCGACAACGGACTGTCAGACTGAATCTAAACTTTCTTTGAGCTAGTTTCTTAGAAATTAGGCAACTGAATTTAGGATGACGACTTATTCTATTGATCCTTGGTCAGACATGAAGGTCACACCAAGGTCAAAATCAAGCCGTTTTTTGTTGGATGACTTGCTTTGTAGAATAACTTGTAACGTTTGTTTTAAAACTCTTGACCAACAGGACGTCAGTAGATATCTTATTCGAGCCTCATGAGGGCTAGAAGAGGTTGCCGCCCTAAAATGACTCTGACCAATCTTTTTAGGAAACATTCTGCTCAGCGTAATCGCTGACGCTTATTTAAAGTTAAAAATCAAACCAATCTTTTAAGTTCTTTTTCGGCATGACCTATTTAAGGTTAAATAAGGTCACCGGCCTGAAACTGACCTCAGTGATGTTTTGCTTATAAAAGTATCTAGGCCAAGGGTGGGTTCAGGAGAAGACCTGAGGAAAATTTGAATGCCGATCTGGAGATTGACCTTGTTTGCCCTTATTGAACCAGAAGATTATGATCTAGATAACCCGAAATTTATTTTAAAAAAGTTCACCTACAGGCCTACCCACGTTGTGAACTTGGTTTGGCTAGCTCTCTTGCAGATCTCAAAGCGTCAAATTACCTCCCCCCCCCCCCCCCAAACTGATCGCGTTCCATCTAACTGACCACCCGAAAGTGCATGACAAAAACATCTTAGTTCAATCAGCACGGGGACATATTTTACTCCCAAATTCCTCACTAACTTTTAGATGACATCACATGCCGGGTGTATGAGCTACAGTGCGGCTGAGTGCGTGCTCAGTGCTGCATCGGCCCACAGAGAGCGGAAGTGCCAGCGATCTCTCCGATGATCAGCCGTGATCTGTCGTCACGAGGCTCCGCCAAGCTACCCAAAATGGTCAGCGATCTCTCCGATGATCAGCCGTGAGCTGTCGTCACGAGGCTTCCGCCAAGCTACCCAAAATGGTCAGCGATCTCTCCGATGATCAGCCGTGAGCTGTCGTCACGAGGCTTCCGCCAAGCTTCCCAAAATGGTCAGCGATCTCTCCGATGATCAGCCGTGAGCTGTTGTCACGAGGCTTCCGCCAAGCTTCCCAAAACGGTCGGCGATCTCTCCGATGATCAGCCGTGAGCTGTTGTCACGAGGCTTCCGCCAAGCTTCCCAAAACGGCTTTGAAACCGTCCCGACAGGCGATTATTTCAACATGGATTAGTCGGAATGGGCATGAAATGACCGCACTATGGGAAGCAACGTAAGCCCCGTGGATTTATTTGATCAAGCCAGGTCATTGATCAAGTCAGGAGCCCAGCATTCACTTCGACAAAGGGCTGTGTGGAAGCCTTCGCCGGTGCTAGCGGGTGTATCATGCCCATAAATATTCAGTCAGCGACAGGCTCCGTTTATCAGCTTGTTGAGTCATGGGATGGTTTTCGAATGGAAAATGGAAATCCAGCAGATCTTGATTTTCCAAGTATCTGCGTACAGAAGCAACAGCTGAAGCCAATTGATCTGGAGAGGGGGGGGGGGGGGTATTTAGAAATATTGATGTATACAAGGACTAAATGATGAAATGTGATGAAAATCCAGGTGTTAGTGGCTCGGCTCTAGCATTCTAAAATTTTTGACGTAAATTGAGAAATGCATCTGGATGCTGATAGTAAACCTTATTGTCCATCGTCATCCGTTATTGCGGCAGCGGTCATGCGATCAATGGCAATCCGATGACCCCGAACAAAACAGCACCGCACGGCGTCACTGTTGCGTACAAAACGTCCGAGGTCTTAAACGTGATGTTGAATACTAGAAATTATTAATACCCAAGCCTAGATGATGAAAAAACAGTAAAATGCTTCAAAGTAAATGAAAAGCAGCATATACGGCGCAATAGAGACTGAGCGGGCGCTGGAAAAGGGACAGCGGCCTCAGTGGTCATTGCCCCTTCCCCACGGATCCCACTCGATCACTGGCGCGACGGGCACTTGGACGGGGGAGGGTCGCCACCGAGAATCATTTGGACGTCAGACCGGCGGCGGCAACGGGTATGCAGTGGGCAGAACAACATCGGCAAAGACGCATGGTTCCGGCGGACGTCACAGGAACAGATAGCAGAGGAGACATTTAAAAACATCTACAAAACGCCTAATACGGCGACGAGTCAATCTTGAAACGGCCGGCGTAAAAGTACAGAAGTACGGTCGAGTGAGCTGCTGCTGAGGCTTAAAAAGCACATGGATTGGCCGTAATAGTCTGTGGTGTGATTGTGCGGGGTGTGCGCCCTCACCTTCGCTGCATTCCGATTTCTACATTTGACTGGGTGCCGGGGGGCGTCACGTGACCGCGGGTCTCCCGATTTGCCGGGGGTCAAGGGTCGGCCGTTGAGGCGGCGGCAGGGACCCGAAGCTCGCAGGCGCCAGTCGGTTTTTGGAATACACGATACGTTTTCTTACAAGTCATTTCGGCCATCAAGCCCGAATCTGCCGCGGCTAGTGACGACGTTGTGGCAACGGCTGCTGCGAATTTTCCAGCGCCAGTGATGTCGACTTTTACGGCCGGAGTGGACAGAGGGGCCGCGATGACTGGTGGTGGCCCATTCGACGCGCGACTCATCACCGAGTACGATGGCACGGCCGACGTCGTAGAGTGGTTCACGAAGGCGGCTGTGCTCTGCCGCCGTCGTGGACCGGACTTGCCCAGCATTCTGCCGGCGCGACTCACAGGTGGCGCGCTTGCCGTCTGGCTGCAGATGCCGGAGGAGGTGCGCACATCGAATGACGCCGTGCGTGACGCTCTCCATGATGCCTTTGCGATGGATCGGTTTGTCGCGTACGACGCGTATACCAGCCGGCGGCTGCTGCCTGGTGAATCGCCTGACGTGTTCCTGGCGGACGCGCGGCGCCTCGCAGCTCTGTGCGGTGGGGTTCCGGAAAACGTGCTCACGTGCGCTCTTGTCGCCGGGCTGCCCGACGAGGCGCGGAGGACTGTCCGCGCTGGTCCCGGGCGGAGGCTTTGAGTCTGGCGAGCATCCTGGTGCGAGCCCGGGCAGTGCTGAGCGACGAACGTGCCGGTGCGGCGGCGGCAGCGGCTAGAGCGCACGAAGAACGAGGAACCCGGCAAGCACGACCGGCAAGGCGACCAGTCCGGAAGTGCTGGACCTGTGAACAGGCGGGTCATCTGGCAGTGGCGTGCCCAAACGGGCTGCGTTGGCGCCAGCGCAGGCCCCCGAGCAGTAGCGCGCGCTCTACCAGTCGTGACACTGCTGGCGGACCAGCGCCCCCGGCGTGCCCTGTTCAGCACGGGATGTACGGACACCCTGGTTCACGTGAGCTGCTACCGCACGTGGCGCCCGTGCGCGGTCAAGATGCGAACGGTGAACGATGGAGTGTTGCGGTGCGTGGGCACCGCCTAGGTGACGTTCGACTACAGAGGCAAGCGTGTAATGCTCGCGGCGCTGGTGGTCCCAGATCGTCCATTGGGGTTGGACGTGCTGATCGGCATGTCCGGCATCACCGCGTTAGGAGGCATCAGTGTTCGGTCCCCGACTGGCGTGCGGCTGGGTGCGGCAACGCGGGAGGCGCCAGAGTCGGCAAGTGACGAGCCGGCATGCAGCGCGGCGGCGCCGGGCAGCGGCACGCGAAGCTCACTGGCGTTGGAAGCGGCGGATTTCACGGCTCGGTTCGACAGCGCTCACTGGAGTAAGGCGTGGAAGTGGGCGCACGGACGTGGTCCCGAACGTCTGGGGAACACCGTGAGTGAATACGCTGTGCCGGCTGAAGCACAAGAGGCCTACGAGCGCGAGATGGCTGAGTGGATGACGAACGGATGGCTCCGGCCCTATGACGAGCAAGAGGACGGGCCGGCTCGGGGCCTGATTCCCTTGATGGCGGTTCAACAGCCGCACAAGGGGAATGCCAGGCCGGTGTTGGACGACCGCGAACTCAGCCGGCATGTGACCGCGCACACCGTGGATGCCGACGTGTGAGACTGCTGAGAGTTAAAAAGCACATGGATTGGCCGTAATAGTCTGTGGTGTGATTGTGTGGGGTGTGCGCCCTCGCCCTCGCTATCTTCCGAACTTTACATCTGACTGGGTGCCGGGGACGTCACGTGACCGCGGGTCTCCCGATTCGCCGGGGGTCAAGGGTCGGCCGCTGAGGCGGCGGCAAGGACCCGACGCTTGCAGGCGCCAGTCGGTTTTTGGGCGAGTCAGGGCAAATACACGCTACGTTCTCTTACATGGTCACACAATATCACACAGCACAAACGATCCAAACTTCAGCTCTGCGGGTCGGCAGCAGTCATTAGACTGACACAACTCAGGTCGGCCCCACACCGGCCAGGGGGTCAGCCCAGTCGACAGCAGCATAATACCATACCACGGCACTACAGCCAGTCTCATCATAGCATGCGTTTTCTTAGCGCCGGTGAAATGTCTGAACGATACACTCAACTGTCCTATAGCGTGCCTCGTCATCATTCCGAGCGCCGGCTGCCATAGACCTCAGTCGTGCACCCTTCGCATAACTGCATATTGCAACCCTAAGGCTGCCCCGGGGCAACAAATTGGGCCGGGTCACAAGCGAGCCCCAGCGCCTAATTAATCCGCCTTGAGCACCACCGAACCAGCCATAATCAAACACGTCCATTGTTGACGGCATGCAGTGCGCGCCAGCGGCCCCCATTTGCGACCCGACTCAATCCACAGCCGGCCCGGTAGCTATTACGGCCCGGCCCGCGCCCGGCTAACGGCCGGCGTGCTGTGTTGCAGCCGGCTACCGGCGTGCGGCCGAGGAGGGCCCGGCGCCGCGGCACCCGGGCCGACCGCCGTTCGGCGACCCGCAGCCGCCGCGGCCCGAGTTCGACCCCAGCATGCCGCGCCTGGTGACGTCACTGGTCGGCCGCGACGCCCGGCTCAGCTGCATCGTGCGCACGCTCGGCAACAACACGGTGAGTCGACGATACCCCCGGCAACAACACGGCAGTGGGGGTGGCACGCTCGGCAACAACACGGTGAGTCGACGGTACCCCCGGCTACAACACGGCAGTGGGGGTGGTACGCTCGGCAACATCACGGTGAGTCGACGGTACCCTCGGCTACAACACGGCAGTGGGGGTGGTACGCTCGACAGCAACACGGTGAGTCGGTGGCATCCCCAGCTACAACACGGCAATGGGGTGGTACTCTCTGCAACAACACGACGGGGCGAGGCTCTGGTGCGAGCTTCCTCCCGCGTTATCGTCCACGATTGGACGGCAGTACAGCGGCACGCTACGCAACAGGACAGCAGTACCGCGGCACGCTATACAACAAGACGGTTGGACAGCGGCACGCTATACAACGGGATGGTGGGACAGCGGCACGCTATACAACAGGACGGTAGGACAGCGGCGCGCTATACAACAGGATGGCAGTACAGCGGTGCGCTATACAACAGGACGGTGGGACAGCGGTAAGCTCTATAACAGTACGGTGGGACAGCGGCGTGCTTCGAAACAACATGGTAGGACAGCGATACGCTCTATGACAGCACAGTGGGACAGTGGTGCGCTCCAATCCTCCTTTCGGGACATGGGTTCAGGTGCAAAACCATTCATTTGTCATTGTGTGTGCTAGTTTTTTTGTGAAATTGGTATCTTGGCTATTTTGAACTGCTCACTACTATCTATGGGCTTTGGATTGCCAAATTTTGTCTACATAAGGCAGGCCTACATATTTAGGGCTGTAGTCATCATATGAGCACAGAAAGATGTAGATTCGGGCTTGGTTTTAGCATTCTTATGCTGGCTGGCATTACCTGATCCCTTGCCTTTCAAGGTATAGATTGTTGTTTCCTTTTCAGAGTCTTCTGAAGACAGTTTTGCTAGCCTTATTCCTCGTAGAATAACCAGGAGAAAGAGAGAGGGAGAGAGAGAGAGAGAGAGAGAGAGAGAGAGAGAGAGAGAGAGAGAGACGTATACGTGTATATACATGTATCTATATATATACATATATATATATATATATATATATATATATATATATATATATATATATATATATATATATATATGTATATATGTATATATCCTGGTTGTTCTACAAGGAACAAAGCCTACTATATGCATGTTTCCTGTAAATGCATCTAACAACTGTACTTGAAATTAAGGTATCGTTATAATTATGCGACATTTGTGTTGGTATAATTGATATAAGGGGCTGAAATTAACTCCAGTGCCCTGGAGTACGTGTGCCCGGGATTGATCTTCGGTTCCTTCATGTAAGCCATGCGACAAATATAAAAGAAGGGATGAATATGCTTATTTCCCTTCTTACAGCGTCTTGTTTTGGCACTAATATCATAAGGTCGGGCATATGTACCTAAAGTGCAAAATTAGGTTGGTGGGCACACGCGGGATTTTTGGAGATGCTTGCCTTGAGGGGTGGGTGCCAGCTATCAAATCTGGGTGCGGGGCGGGTGCGGGCATCACAAATACACAAAAGTGGCAGCTTTAGCAGGGTCCTAATATACTCAGCAACAGAAAGCTAGGTCCACGGTATTTTTGCAAGCACGCGACGGGTCCGCGACACCCCTGGACGATACGAAATAGCATGATGGGCCCGCGGTACATTGGTCAAGAATGCCGGCGGAGCTCAGTTATAGTAGAGGGTCCGAGCTCGGCTTACGCGAGCGGTGCGAGCGGCATCCAGATCCCATATGAGCGGCACCCAGGTCCCATGCGAGCGGCATCTAGATCCCACGCGAGCAGGATCCAGATCCCATGCGAGCGGCATCCAGATCCCATGCGAGCAGCATCCACGACCCGTTAGATGGGATGTAGATCCAATGTGAGTGGATCCAGATACGATTCACTCGGTATTCAGATATTATGTAAGCGAGTGCAAGTCAGACGCGGACGGATTCCAGATCCAACGCGCGTGGGATCCAGATCATATGACTCCTACAGTCACAGGATGCTAGGATGTGTAGGATGCATAGGCCAGAATACCACTCAGAGCTGGCATCACGCGTCGTCGGTGGGTAGGCTCACTGTATCTGGCCGCGGCTGAGATCACAGATCGACAGTCTCTCAGCGCCGCTCACCGCTCAGAGCTGGGATCACGCGTCGTCGGTGGGCCGGCTCACTGTATCTGGTCGCGGCTGAGATCACAGATTGACAGTCTCTCAGCGCTGTTCACCGCTCAGAGCTGGGATCACGCGTCGTCGGTGGGCCGGCTCACTGTATCTGGTCGCGGCTGAGATCACAGATCGGCAGTCTCTCAGCGCTGTTCACCGCTCAGAGCTGGGATCACGCGTCGTCGGTGGGCCGGCTCACTGTATCTGGTCGCGGCTGAGATCACAGATCGGCAGTCTCTCAGCGCTGTTCACCGCTCAGAGCTGGGATCACGCGTCGTCGGTGGGTCGGCTCACTGTATCTGGCCGCGGCAAAGAGCGGCTGAGATCACAGATCGGCAGTCTCTCAGCGCTGTTCACCGCTCGGAGCTGGGATCACGCGTCGTCGGTGGGTCGGCTCACTGTATCTGGCCGCGGCAAAGAGCGGCTGAGATCACAGATCGGCAGTCTCTCAGCGGTGCCAGCCGTCGGTTGCGATCGCAGGCCGTCCGCCAGCTGACCATGTCACCGTCAGAACAACAGTGCGCCAGTCTGTCATCTGCGGCCGGGGCTGGAGTTACACGCCGTCAGTCAGACTGTCGCCTGTCTCCGGTCGGTGACTGTGGCTGGGGTGCCAGCGTGCCGGTCGGTTCGGTCGGCTGTATCCGGTGGGAGGGCGGAGAGGGCTGCCGCCCGTCCGGCCCGCGCAGGCTCTGCTGTCAGGGCTTTCCGTCCGCCTGGCCTCCTCTGAACGCTGCGCGCCGACTTCCGCAAGGCCGTGTGCTGTTCGCGGGAAGCCAGGCCTGGCCAGCGGGAGACGCCATGTCACTGGCTGCAGGGGAACCCACAACATGACAGCGGTTTGATTCCTTAGAAATTTATATTTTTCCCGAAAACCAGTAGCGTCTGTCCATGTCACATTGTTGCATGGGGAGGCGATAAAAACATTGCAAGCCTTTTCCTGCTATTATCAAACAAGACAAAGTTAGATCTCGAATGCAGACACCTCGGGTATTTGTTGGGGGAGGACTGCGTGGATAATCATGACAAATCTCTTTTTATGCAAAAAGGCTGACTTTGACCAGTCCACGAGACCTGGGCAGCGGCGCGGTCAGGATTTTCTTGAGGGGTGTCTAGACCTCAGCCAGAATGCTTTACGCTGATTTTTACTTAGTGTTAGGAGCAATCTACGATGAGGAGCGACAAAATGCCTGTCCAAAGAGTTAGCCCCCCCCCCCCCCATCTCCGTCATCCTTAAACATGCCTTCACCTATTTCAACTATCATGTTGACATTTCCCGTCAGTTACAAGGCGTGGTTACTGTCGCACAGCGAGCTAAACCGCGCCGTCACGCACATTTAGTGTAAGCTATGGTTTTCAAATGTCCCGCACCTTTGAATCGGTGTGTGCTGAAGCGTGATGCACACAAATGAAGTGTAAGCCACTGTTACTTGCCAGCCGGCTTTAAACCTCCTCTCCACAATGGCCGACAACCGAATGCACCGTAGGGCAGCCATGCAATTCACTGGCACACTAGCCGTCACTTGCGATTATCTATGCTCGGACCGAGATCAGAACCCTAGAACAACCACATCGTCCGCCCCTCCCCCGCTCCCCCCCCCCCCCCCCCCCCCCCCCCCCGCCGAGGCCGGAGGAGACGGACCGGATCACTGCTGCCGTGTCCCTGCCGTCCTGTCAGCGAAAAAACCCGCCGCAGATGAGGCGTAGCGCGCGGTCTAAACAGCAACGCACAGAGGGGCCCGCACTCAATTAGCGGCCGGCGATCGACGCCAAATGGATACAGGAAACGAGGCGCGCGCCGACCTGATGACCTGCGACCTGCCGGGGGCGACGAACCCGGGGATGGGATGAGTACTCCTTGAGAGCGCGTAGGGGCGGGACGTGGCGCCTGGAGCCGGGGAGGAGCGGTGTTCGTCCTTGAGAGCGCGTAGGGGCGGGACGTGGCGCCTGGAGCCGGGGAGGAGCGGTGTTCGTTCCTGAGAGTGCGTAGGGGCGGGACGTGGCGCCTGGAGCCGGGGAGGAGCGGTGTTCGAGACCCTGCCTCGGGGTGAGAGGGCCGTCGGCCCGTATTCAGCGGAGCGCAGGGCGATGACCTAGACTGGCTGTTCGCACCGTCTGCCTGGCATGGTGATGGGGGTCAGACTTTTGCTCGATTACGCTTTAGTTGAGTCGGTTTCTACTCTACTAAGGGTGCGTTTGATTGATTTCGAATCCGACTCTGAGCAGAGCAGTACGTATGTTTGGGTCATCTCCAACTCCTCATAAAGAATGCATCATGGCATTCCCGAATCAGTTCCAGCAGATATAATCCTAGTCAAAACTGTGCAGAAGATATTTAATGCACCGTTTAGAATTTATCTGCCCCAATCGCAGATCATTTGTGCATAAACCAGAGAAATGGCACACATTCTGCTCATTGTCAGTTACTGGGATGCACACGCAGACGGAAAAGTGAGAACTTTTGTTGTCAACGTTTTTTGTGCAGCCAGTTATGGTTATCCACGTCCTAGGTCGTAAAAGCATACTTCGAAAGTAATCATATCAATTTGTAGGTTAGCTCACTCAATTTTAAAAGCAACCAATTTCACCTTCACTTTTCAAAAGGTTGGCTCACTCGGGGCTGACTCTACCTTACACAGAATCAACACAACGCTGTAAGCAAACGGCGGGATGGGAGCGCAGCCTTCGCAGCACTTCATACTGATTCCATCACGTCATGTCGCTGTCATGCCATCATGCGGCTTGCTCCGTCGTCGCCGGGTACAGGCAGATGACGGCTCAATGCTCATCAAATCGCTAGTAGCCCGGTGCCCCTGCGACTTGGCTGGACATCGC